TCTGAGGACAAAAGTGGTGAGATTGTGCCTCTTGGTGACCCTATAATTGAACAAAACATGAAAGTATATTTATATGTTATGATAGAAAATACACTATTTTAAGAATGCATTGGTGTACCGAAACTCTGTATGTGCCATCAGCACCATGCCCTGCATGTTTTAAAAAGGTTTTGAGATAGCGCCACCTTGTGTTAAAAAAATATTATATTGAAATTTAAAAAAATGCTAAAAGCTTTTGATTATTTTTGTCTATTGACGTGTCTTGATAGATTCCTTGGATCATACCAAGAACATCAATACTAATTATGCCATAATTGGCTGAACTTCCCATCCACCATTTTTCAAACTCCTCCTAAACCTTTGGTCCACATTTTGAGAAATTTGACTCAGATCATCTTCAGACCATGTAGACAAAAATTATCAAAAGCTTTTTTCATAGACCAAAACGTTTTCAAATAATGCATCAATTAAATTGTTGGCATGATGCCAAACTGATACGGAGGCTGCAACTCTGCAGCACTTGGTTATATTGACACCAAACTTTTTATGTGTCACTGTCACCTCACACTGACCACACCATAACATTGGTCAAAAGTGATAAACCAGTAAATCGTATTACTACTGATTATATTTATTAGGGATGCACCGATACCGATACTGGTATTGGTATTGGGCCCGATAATGGTCTCCTGTACTTGTTAAAATGCCCCGATACCAAACGCCGATACCACACAGCATGTGATAAGTGCCATATTCAGACAATGAAACACCAACAACAGACAGCAGAATGGAGTTATTAGAGATTAAGGATGTCTACGAAGTATATGTATGCAATGAATATAACGTTAAACATTCAGTATTAACACCTGTATAGCTGATGTGCGCGAGCTGATAAACAAAGCATGCTGAGTGGATTGAGCGCGCGGCGGCGCAGATACGCAAGCTTGTCGAGTGAATATATCTTTCTCACAGACATCACTGGAAAGTTTGTAGTTCAGTCGGATACGTCAAAAACAAGTAAGTAAAACAATGCACGAGTTACTTAACGGTAGGGAGAGAGAGAGAGAGAGAGCGCACAATTCTGTTGTGTGATCTTTGATGTTCACTTAGCACACGCATCATTTGGATTAAAACTAAATC